GGCTCGGTAACCGCACCGGAGCCAGTGTGAGCAAGGGGCTACAAAAACTCAATCCTGCTTAATCCTGTGCCAGCTTGCCTAACCTCAACCTAAACTAATTCCTAGCCTTAGTCCTGCACCTAATCTTGAGCAAAAAAGGCAGTAGGAGCGAGCAGAGTGTCCTCACTTTACAAACGGTCCTCCCTTTGATGGCAAAATTTGGAAACATCGTCCTCACTTTACAAACGGTCCTCACTTTGTAAAGTGACTTTGTAAAGTGAGGCCGATGTTTCCAAATTTTGCCATCAAACGGTCCTCACTTTGATGGCAAAATTTGGAAACATTATCCTCACATTTCGACAAATTAATTGTAGCTATTCAGATATAGAAAATAGATAATTTATATGAAATCAGAAGCAGGTCTGTTATTTATTCAGGGGGTTTGTGTAAGTAAGGCACCGAGGAGGTGGAGTTACGTGATCAATGGGGAGCGAAAAGTAGTGATCATCTGTCTGAACAGTCAGATGATCAGATGTTAACCGAGTTCACTATAAAGTCCGCCATATGGTCCCCGCTCTATATAGTGATTGAGGGATTTAGGGGTCAGGGCGGATGTTCTGACACAACCCTAATGTTTAAGGTTACATGTTCTAATTTTATTTTTTTATTCTCTTCAGGATCTGGACAGTTTTTCGCCAGCTACACCTTGACGCCTGAGACTTGACCATGTAGAACCATTTTTGGGGGAGGGGCAACACACACACATAAAAACACACACACAACTACACCACAAAAGCCCAACTAAAACCTGAGGGAGACCAGACGGCCTGCTCATAATCTTGTTGCGCTTTCTTCTCGACCATTTTCCCTCAAGTTGAATTCTTAACCACTGTGATCATCGGAGGAGCCTTGGAGAAGCCAAACACGTCACCCTGCTGAACTCCGGCTCCAGCTCAGCCTTAGGGACGGTACCCAACAAGCGCTGCTGACCGAGCGCACTCTTCTCAGAGGGAAAACCACCCAGCTAACCTTCCCTCATCTTCTGTATTGTTCATTTCTTTTTCCTTATTAACCAAAGTTATGTAGAGTATTTAGAAACGTGTGAGGAGTTTCTTGGAAACGGCCTGAACCAAACAAATAAGTGAGTTTTCTCTTTTTCTTCAGCTATTTTTAGCTGCTTTATGTGAACAGTTAAAAGGTTTTTAACCGGTTAGCCTTTAATACAGAAAAAGATGGTGGTTTCTGACTTACAGGCCAAAAGTAACCATCTATTAATGTATTTAATGAAAAAAAAATATTTCGTATTAACCTGGATCTATAACCCTGTGACTTCTAAAATGAGGGTTTTGTTTTTATGGTAGTTGAACCATCTTAAATGCACTCGAATGAAACTTATTGAGTGTAAATGTTCTCTTTTTTTTCTGTCTTCTAGTTTACATAGGCTTTACGATCTGTCGATGGAATTAGCGTGTTTATTAATCATTCCTTAGCTGAAGCCGGTTATCCTTAACGCTGCACTCTTCTTCAGAAACAGTTTGAGTCTTGAATCAGCTTTTTATAAATGATCTGATTTGGGGTTTAGTGAGGAGTCACCACGGCGGCCTGTATTTCTGTCGCACTCGGTATGTTGACATATTGAGCATTCAGGGGAATCTGTTGTGTATCTCACCTGCAGGCTTTGCCTCAGGTCCATTTTTTATTTTATTTTGTTTTTCAAGTGCATTTCATGTTTTTTTCTTTTCAAAGAGATGCCTGTGTGTACCATTGCCTTTTTGTGAACACCGCCTAAACTTAAGTTTGAGAGTCACTGTTTAACGAAACGATTGCACATCTCTCAGCTTCTAAAACGTATATTAGTCACTGTTGTTTAAGTTGGATTAATTAGATTTTTTTTTAATGCACATTTATGTGCAACACAGCTATATAACCTTTTAGGGAGACATTTCAACTTCTAGTGTTTAAAAAGAAAAAGTTTGACATTTTGTGGAAAGAACTTATTCAGTTTATCACACTTGCATTTATTTAGTTTTTTGCCTTTTTTTTTTTCTTCTCAAAATGTATTCCAGAATTTAATGACACCTTATACGACTTTCCTGGATTTTCTCACTAACTTATAAGCAACTCGATGCTTTTCTTTAAATCCGGCGTTCCACATGGCAGCGTCCTTAGCCCGCTTGTTTTTGTTTATCGAGACCGTTGGAAAACAACAACAAAATCGGCACCGACTGACCTAATAATGATGGACGCCCGATATTGAGCAGGCTACACCATGACTTATCCTAATGTTAAAAAGAAATAAAAGCCTGGCCTTTAGCAAGCAGGATAAAGAAAATTCACCCCGTTATGTTGATGGTAGGGCTTATGAGAGGTTTAGCAGTTTCAGAAATGCAGATCCTTTACGTCTGTGGAAACGGTGGTGCCACTCCTTTCAGACGGGCCACTCCGCCCCAGCAGCTACTGTTTAGCTGTTTAGCTAGTTCACCATGAGCGCATTTGGAGGGATATTGAAGTAAAAAGCATCTAGAACACACAGGCAAGCTTTGTAATACTGTCTGTATAAACTGTTTCAAACTATATTAAGATCAACATATATAGTTACATCATTGTGTGTAGTACATTTCAGCCTACAGTTAGAAACTGACTGAGAAATGTAGAGCTGTAGTGCAGATGAGGTTAAAAATAAGGTGGTTTCATGAGGAAGTTCTAGTTTCATATATCAGGTTAACAGTCAGCATCTATATACATATAGATGGGTTTTTTTCTGAAGCTTGTGTAATGAGTTTTTTTCTTCTTTTGAAATGTCAAAGTCTTCGCAATCAGCTGTATTTTGCAGGGCAGTCACCAACTCCCCCCAAGTCATCTGACTAAGCTCTGCTGCACTCGCTTTTCTATCGTTCTGCCTTGAGAAACTGCAGTGTTGTGGTTGCAGTTACTGTTACAGTGCTGACTCAGAGCGAGCGAGGGGGATAGAAAGAGGAAGCTGCTGCATTCTTTGCCTTCCGAGAAGTTTCTCCACGGCCACTGATCTGGGACACAACAGCTTCTCTTTAACTTTAGGAAGTCCTCTCTGTTCCATTCAGTATTCCAACGCCATCTTCTGATAGAGATGCTCTGTGATGTGCCGTTATGTCGGAAGGAGGACTCAGTTCTCGTCTAGTCTCTTCTGGAGTGCTTGCTTTGTGTGTGTTGTGTGCTTGTGTTCTCGGATGCTTTCCTTGTTTTTTTTTCTTCCTCCTAGATGATTACTCTTCTTCATGAATCACAAAAGCAATTTTAATGCATAGAGGTGCCTTCTATGCGTTTGTGTGTAAAACGGCTGTCGAAGCAAACTGCTCCTCAAGCTCCAGCGCCATCTAAGAACCTGTAACAACTAAATGTGAATCCTTTCATCATGAACGTGCTGAACAAAAAAAAAAACCTAAATAAAAACAGGATCCTGAAGCAAACTATATTTTTTAACATGTATATTGTACATGAACACCAAGTAGAACAGAATGTACTTACTAAAACATATCTACTTGCCAATAAAATATACTGTATGTATATTCCTGCAGCTTTTCTCCCCATGACACAGGGAGGAACCTCACAGAGCTTAAGAGGTGTATTGTATGACTCTCAATGCAGTTAACCATGTTAACTTCCGTAACAATAAACGGCTAACCCATGCCTTGTTAACGGACCGTCTCTTGTCTTCTTGATTCTTTTAGTTTTTTGGGGGTCTTTTTATTTAGTATTTTTCAATTTAGCATAAAACAGACAAAAAGAAAAGTGAAAAGAGAAGGGCAACAAAAATACAACAAAGGTATACCAGAGTCCATGTTTATGGGATGTGGGGGTCGCACTGTTCTTATATAGGTTTGTCTGGCGTTCCAGTTTTATTGAGGGGAAGTTCTTTCTGATTTGTGTAATTAAACCAAGTTGTTTCAGGTATTTGGACTTTATCCCTAGATAGTACGGTATTTTCTCCATTGTGAAGATTTCCTCTACTACGGTATTCATATCCATTGTGTCAGGTGTGGAGGGTCACTTTTTAACCATTTTCTGGTAATCGCCTTTTTTAGATGCCACTATCAAGATTTTTTGGAGATGGATGTCTTTCCTGAGTATCTCTTATCGGTTTGTATTTTTGTACTTTGAGTATGTAGTCATTTATTTGTAATTGAGGTGTTATAAAGTAGAGTATAACATTTTTCCAGCCAAATTCCCTCCAGTTTATAGAGCTTGTGGAGGACCTTTGTGTTTTGCACATTGAAAGCCAGTCACTCTTTGACAGTTTCACTTTCAATTCCGCTTCCCATTTGGACTTTATATATAGTGAGTTATTTCCATTTAATTTTTGTAGGGTTTTATATAGCTTAGATACAACTTTTGTTGGGATTTCCGTGTATGCATCCAGAAATATAATTGAATCAACTCATTTCCTTCCGGTGATAATTCAATTCTCTTCTAGTTTTAATCTAAACTTGAATATTAACGTAAAACTTGGATTTCTGGGTGTTTTGTAGGGTGGTTTTATTGAGGTGATAATCTATTTTTAATAGAGGGCTAGGGGATAAAAACATTAGTTACCTGTTAATGCATGAGTGATTAAATAGGAAAATATAACTTCAATAACATAATTAAACAACTGAGAAAGAAGTTTTCACAGACTTCAACAAAGAAATCTGATATTGAAAAGTTTTCACCTTCAAATGAGTTCAGTAACACAGTCTATTGCATCAACTCATTGACTCGAATGCAATCCTTCACACAAAGCATGCTTGTAGCGACAGTGGAGAGGAAAAACTCCCCTTTAACAGGAAGAAACCTCCAGCAGAACCAGGCTCAGTGTGAGCGGCCATCTGCTGAGGCCGACTGGGGTTCAAGGAGACAGAAGCAGAGAAACAAAAGGCAGCCCTGTCCAGGAAACACACAGCCAGGCAGACAAGCTCTGAGCCAACTCCCATGTCAGAGGATGAAGAAAGCACATCCAGCAAACAATTCAGAAAAACAGGCCGATCTCCAACATCTATAAACAAAGGTATTGATGGCAGCAGCACAGCTGATATTAGTCTCCAGGATGGTGTCACAGCCAAATGGGAACAGATGAGGCAAAGTAACTGTAAGGAAAAAGCAGAGAGAGCATAACGTTAGAGATTGAACAAACAGATTCACTTCTGTTAAAAAGATTTTCATTGTTTTAAGATACAGCCTTAAATCCTAACGGGCTTAACTGAGCTGCTCAGATGTCCCTTTTTACTCTGAGACGCAGCCTTCTGGCTTGTACAGTACAGCTCTTCCAATCACTTTTTAGGCCTCTGATTATTACAATTAATACAGTGGGGCCAAAAAGTATTTAGTCAGCCACTTATTGTGCAAGTTCTCCTAATTAGGATAATGAGAGAGGTCTATAATTTTCATCAGAGGTACTCACATCGTAGGATTTTTAAATGATTTATTTCTAAATTATGGTGGAAAATAAGCATTTGGTCAATAACTAAAGTTCAACTTAACACTTTGTATCATAACCTTTGTTGGCAGTGACAGAAGTCAAATGTTTCCTGTAGGTCTTCACCAGGTTTGCACACACTGTAGCTGGTATTTTGGCCCATTCCTCCATGCAGATCTCCTGCAGAGCAGTGATGTTTCGGGGCTGTCGCTGGGCAACGTGGACTTTCAACTCTCTCCACAAATTTTCTATGGGGTTGAGGTCTGGACCTTGAAATGCTTTTCATGGAGCCACTCCTTCGTTGCCCTGGCGGTGTGTTTGGGATCATTGTCATGCTGGAAGATCCAGCCATATTTTATCTTCAAGGCTCTCACTGATGAAAGGAGGCTTTGGCCTAAATCTCAGGATACATGGCCCCGTTCATTCTTCCCTCAATACGGATCAGTTTCCCTGTCCCTTTTACAGAAAAACAGCCCCAAAGCATGATGTTTCCTCCCCCATGCTTCACAGTAGGTATCGTGTTCTTGGGATGCAACTCTGCATTCTTCTTCCTCCAAACACGAGTTGGGTTTTTACCAGAAAGTTATATTTTGGTTTCATGTGAATACATGATATATTCTCCCAATCCTCTTCTGTATCATCCATATGCTCTCTGGCAAACTTCAGGCTGGCCTGGACATGTACTGGCTTAAGCAGAGGGACACGTCTGGCACTGCAGGATTTGAGTCCCTCTCGGTGTAATGTGTTACTTATCTAAGTCTTTGTTATTTTGTTCCCAGCTCTCTGCATGTCATTCATCTGGTCCCTTCGTGTAGTTGTGGGATTTTTGCTCACCGTTCTCTTGATAATTTTGGATGGGATCTTGCGTGGAGCCCCAGATCGAGGGAGATTATCTGGTTTGTACGTCTTCCATTTTCTTACAATTGCTTCTACAGTTGAATTTTTCACACCAAGCTACTTGCCCATTTCAGATTCACGCTTCCCAGCCTGGTGCAGGTCTACAATTTTCTTTCTGGTGTCCTTCAACAGTTCTTTGGCCTTGGCCATGGTTGAGTTTGGAGTGTGACGTGTGACTTTAAATATTGTTAGATATTACAGGCTAACAATGGAACCAAACGACCCACTCATCGGTTTCCATTTGCATGTTTTCAAGCAATACAAGGCCTTGTCTATATAAAGACTCAAACTCACTGCGGATCCAAACATTTGAATTGAGAAAGCTTCCTGGAGAGGTGGCGAAACATCTTCAAATCTTGGAATCCAAGTCCAGTGGATTTTTTTGAACTTTCACGGAAAAAAAATTCTTAAAGAAGTTACAGGTCTGTGAGAGCCAGAAGTCTTGCTGATTTGTGGGTGATCAAAAACTTATTTTCCACCATAATTTATAAATAAATTCTTTAAAAATCCTACCATATGATTTCTTGATTTTTAGTTTTTTTTTCATTTTGTCTCTTATAGTTGAATTGTGTATCTATGATAAACATTACAGACCTCTCATTATTCTAAGTAGGAGAACTTGCACAATCAATTCAACAACTCTCTTTTTTTATTCAAACAGGCTTTCTAATGGTAAACATTTTATTTTCAATTAGGATTGCTTCAATTATGCCCTCACTAACAGGACAACCCGGCATTGAAAGTTTTTTGTTTCACCTTGTTTAAGCTAAAAGATCACAAATAACATATAATGAAGTATATTTTCCTTTTAGTAAGAAAAATAACCCCCACACATACAAAAAACACAAACTGATATTCAGCAAATGTTAATTACAACACATATTCAAAAAGCTAATTAGAAAATAGATATAGTCACAGAAAACAGCGTATTATACATGCTCAGAATGTCTATTTTAAGTGTTGGGGTCTAAAATAAGTGACATTATCAGACTGGATAACATACTCAAGGAAGGGTCCCCACAGGTTCATAAACATTTCACTTCTGTCGGTTTTTGAGTATCTGATTTTTTTCTAATTTGAGAAAATAGAGGTTGTGTTGCGCCGATCCCATTTTTGGGCCTGATTCCGATGTGTAGCTGTGCAGTATTGGCCAATACGATACCATCTGTTATAAATGGATGTGGGTGTGTATATATATGAAGACCTGCATACTACTTGGATGTAAAATAATTGCCATCATGGCTTTGTCAAGCTGCTGCCTACCTTTGTGAAGCAGGAAAAAGACTAATACAAAGTCAATCCAGTAGAACTTTTTATTACCTACCTGGAATGGGTATCAGTGGGGCCCTGATACCTACCAGTATCAGGGCCCCACTCGATACTGGTATCGGAATCGGTGCAACACTACTCTAAACCAATGGGTGTTTGAAGGTGGTACAGAAGATTTTAATTTTAAAACAATCAATTGTCTAATAAGTGGCAAAACAAGAACATCTTTTTTATATTTTACAAAAGAAGTCAAAGAATATGTATCTCCAAGGGGGGGGGGTTCAACTCTTTCACCTGCTACTTTTGCAAAGTGGTAAAAATCTCTGTCCAATAACTTTATCATGATGTTCCAAAACACATGTACAAGGTTTGCAGCAGACCGTAGACATCAGTCACAAGCTGCAGTTATTCCATCATACATTTTAGCCAATCTAGCTTTAGTATAATAGACACAATATGCCATGTTACATTGAATTAGAGCATGTCTAAAAGATATAAAGATAGAGGATTTATGTATTTGCTGCAATATCTCTGTCTAGATTTCTATTGAAGGTATTTAAGTTTTTTATTTCATAATTTGCTTTGTTGAAGACAGAAATCTAGATTCCTAAAATTAGTGAGAACTGCAGAGAAGATCATCGGGGCTCCTCTTCCCTCCATATAAGACATTTCATTCCAGCGCTGCGTGTCCTGAGTCCATTACATCATCCATGACCCCTCACACCCCCCCACCATGGACCGTTCTCCCTGCTGCCCTCTGGGAAGAGGCTTCGCAGATTCCGAAACAGCTTCTTCCCCGTCGCCATCAAACTCATGTCACTCTGCATCAAACAGACCAAATCAATGCTATTTTTTGCACCATGTTTTTTTCTCCCAATGTTTACATTTGATCACTGCTGCACTTTAAGAAAATTGAAATGTCATGAGAGCTGTACAAAATGACAATAAATGTTGTCTTAGTCTAAGACTAAAAAGAAAATATTTTTTTGTATTTAAATTAGATATTTTAGATCAAATTTCCACACAAATTCGAACTCATTTTGCTTTCGAAAAATTTTTTTTTTCTTTTTTTACATCTTCTCAGCCCTTTTTAAATCCACCTGTAAACTGTACCTCTGGTTCCTAAGATGATGAGAGTTCGATGGAAATAAAAGCAAAGACACTTCTATGCATTTCATTCTTGAACATGAACAAAAACCTGTTCTCAGAAACGGCTTTAAAGAGAAATAGGAGCTGTGATAGATGGTTTTTATGTAAAAGACTTGTGTTCCTTTATGCTGATTTGGGTCTCATATTCATTTAACTCTGCAATAATTTAATACAATCAATCATTTGCACAGAACTTTACTGTTGTCACTTTATACCAGTGTTTGTAACCTTAGCCATAGCCATTTAACTGTTCACAAAAGTGTGATGGCCTTGTCTGTATATACTTAATGTATATTTTTTTTATATATTTTTAATATTTTTTCTATTTTGTATTCTTTCTTTTTTCCTACTGTACTGTTCACTGTGATGCAACGCTGCAATTTCCCCACTGTGGGACAAATAAAGGATTATCTTATCTTATGATTTCCAAAGTGTTTGCATTTAGAGTTTAATAAAAAATGGAGATCAAAAGAAAAAAGTCAAATGTATCAATAGGAAGACCAAACTTTATCACTTCAGTTATCTGAATTATTGAAGCCCTAACCTTTTAAACCTTATCCTTATAGATGTTATGCAATGTAAATAAAGGTTTATTTATTTCCTCCTTATAGATGCACAAGAATTGCAGAACAGAGTGAACATCAGCCTTTTACCCTGGATTACCCATGACCTTCCTTAACAGGAACACGTAGAAGACCGTCAGAAAACATGAATCCTGAACACGTCACCAACCTTGAGCTATCAGCATGCGTGGTCATGAGTTTGGCATTTATCTGTCGTTTCTAATTAACTCTGGCCCTCTGTCTCAGCCCTGCTCTGCATTCTGTCACTCTGCTCCTCCAAACCTTTTCAGGATTCCTCCTCAGGGCACCTGCATCATCAACACGCCGTCCCAGATGCTACATTTCCCTCCAGGACACAGCTATGTTCTAACTAAAGGTTTTTGCTGCCGCTCACACCTCTTTGTGTTTTATTTTTATCAATAAAAAGATATTAAAAGATGGTGGATGGGTCATTTTATCTCAAATATTAATCAGGGAAAACAACTCTGGTTGAGAAACATCCCCATTTCTACAAGAAATCATCTGAATAACTTGTTAAAATGCAGACCTCCAGAAAAAATATATGTATATAAGTATTATAAATATTTAATAAAAAATGTTTTCCAGTTATTTACAGGCAAAAAAATATAAGTGCAAATATATACAGTAAATAAAACATTTACCAAGATTATTTATGTATTAA